AAAGCAAGCAAAGAAGAAGCCAGGGAAATATGGACCCCCCCCCCCGCAGGAGGAAGCGGAAGAAATAAAGTGAGTGTGAGAAGGAGCAAAGAGGAGACATCATTTAGAACAGAGAAAGAGGAGGAGGAGGAGATTGGATTTATACCCCGCCCTTCACAACCCAAATGTGTTTCAGAGTGGCTTACAAACTCCTTTCCCTTTCCCTCCCCACAATGGACACCCTGTGAGCAATGTTCCCTCTAAGCTGTGGAGTCTTGTGAGCAAAAATTCTACTTTGTGAGCGACTGGCATTAAAGCTGTGAGCGAGCGATTTGGCTGCTGCATAAATTAGTTTGTTCTGGAGCCCTCCTTCCCGAGCGAAGAGAAAAATGTGTGAGCCAGAGGCTAAAAAGCTGTGAGCCAGCTCACACCAGCTCAGCTTAGAGGGAACACTGCCTGTGAGGTAGGTGGGGCTGAGAGAGCTCTGACAGAAACTGCTCTTTTTCAAGAAGAGCTGTGCCAGAATTATGGCTTGCCCAAAGAGTGGGGAATCAAACCCGGTTCTCCCAGATTTGAGTCCGCGAACTTAACCACTACACCAAACAGAGAACAAGGAGGCATCAAGACACAGGAACAGCAAGGGAATTAAGAAGAGTGCCACATACAAAAAGGGACGGGGGAGCCAGTAGAGATGACTGTAAAAAAAGAGGTAAAATGTGGTTAAGTAACTGGCAGAGAGAGACTAGGGCTTGGGAACAGAAAGATGAGAAATAATTGTTTTGCTGGCTAAGGGCATTAAGGAGTGATTATTGACTTCAACGCAACTCAACAACAGAAATTAAATATCCAGATCGATCATCTTCAGAAAAGAAGAGCAAATTAGGATGCTAAATTATCCATAAAAATACTAGTTATCTCACTCATGATTGAAAAGTCACATTCTAGTCACATAAAAGACTAGAAGATGGAGCTCAACAAGCAAGCTGAACATTTTAAAATTATTTTTTTTAAAATCCTTACCAATCGTCAGAGTGTCACTTTCATGGTCACTGCCAAGTCCAGCATCGGAGCTACTCTGGGAGACACTGTCGTCCTAGTTACAATAGAAAATGTACTCTGATCATCGCCAACCAGAATTAAGTTGCAGTTAAAATGTAAAATATTGCAAGTCTCTTCAAAAATCGACAAAAATTCAGCCATGTTTATAGAACTCTACTAGGTTTCTAGAGGCCATCTCTTACTCATCAAACCTGAAAAGCTGTTCTGTTTTTCAGTCCAAAGACTCAAACTACAAGTCATGGTTTCATGTGATCAGTTTATAACATCTTCCCCCCTGCCCCATTTCCAAATGAAGTTACTGGGATTGCTTTTTAAAGGTTGTGATCACTGCAGAGGGGGGCTCTTTAATTCTTTCCAGCTTGCCTTTTTCCCCCCTGCTGTAAAACCCACCTCTCAAATATTCAGATTTCCCAGGAGCGGCATCACCAGATGGCTTAGCATTTTGCACAACGAAGGCAAACTTCTCATTCAAAATGTACAAGCAACACACTGTTACTTCACAACGAAGGCAAACTTCTCATTCAAAAGTTCTATGTACAAGCAACACACTGTTACATTTTCTGATCTCATCCCTCCTTCAGAAGCTCAGGGCAGCATGCATGGTTCCCACTCACCATTTTATCCTCCCAACAACCTTGTGAGGTAGGAAAGGTTGAGAGACAGGGACTGGCCCCCCACTGGACCCACATCGCCACGGTCTCAGTCTTAAACACTAACCAGTGCATCTCACTAGATACTGGGCTCCAGGGAACTAGCAGTCTCATCTTTAAGGTTCTTTTTAGACTTAAATCACCGAGGAATTAGATAGCACTTCTTGGGAAAAAACAAGTACCTTTTTCAGGAAAGACACTGTGCTGCTACTGTTTCTGCAGGAGCTTAGTGAGGAGTCCACATCTTTCTTGACCAAGGTCAGATAATAGCCTGTACCCAGCTGGTTCTTCAGAAACAGAGAAGATCCGACGCAGCACAGTTTGCCGTGAGATATGATAGCAATCCGGTCTCCGAGGATGTCTGCCTCGTCCATGTGATGTGTGGAGAGAATGATGGTGCGGCCTGGAAACCAAAAAATGTTGAGTCAGTTCAGCAACCTTCCTCAAAGGCTTCTAAGTCAGGAGGACACGCAAACTCAGGATGCGCATCAATAGTAATGCTCCTCTACCAGCCAATGGAAGACTGTCTAACCCAGTGGTTCTCAACCTTCCTAATGCCGCGACCCTTTAATACAGTTCCTCATGTTGTGGTGACCCCCAACCATAACATTATTTTCGTTGCTATCATAAGACCATCAGAAATTTGTGTTTTCCGATGGTCTTAGGCGACCCCTGTGAAAGGGTCGTTCGACCCCCAAAGGGGTCGCAACCCACAGGTTGAGAACTGCTGATCTAACCCAAGAGTCAGTACAGGTTGCAGACCTATACAGAGGTCCTCTTCCTTTCTGTGCCTTTTCCACTCTGTCTTTTGTACCAAGTCATGCAAGCGACTAAATTACAAGGTTGGAAACTAGTAAGGATGCATCTATGAAGACGTTCTCCCAAGAATCCATTCAAAGAGATTCTAGTAAATTGATTCAAGGGATATGGCTTTAGGGCAAGGCAAGGTGCTTCATGCAGCGAAAACAATGCAGTGTCTCTCTCCTCTAACACAAAAGGGGGATTCCGTCTTATGCACACAGCATGGGTCTGCTTCTAACCTCAGTTCCAAAAGGGGGATTCCGTCTTATGCACACAACATGGGTCTGCTTCTAATCTCAGTTCAGTGAAAGATGAAGGCTGTCAGTCAAGTTGAATCAGAATTCAGTTGGGTATTTTCCCCTATAAACTGTCCTAATTTTTTAAACTTCATTTACATTTTTGCCTTTCTCCCCAATGGGGAACCAAAGCTGATTACATCATTCTCCTCCCCTCCATTTTATCCTGACAACAACCCTGTAAATTAGGTTAGGGTGAGAGTGTTGGGACTGGCCCCAGGTCAGCCAGTCAGCTTCCACAGCACGAGTAGGGATCTGAACTTGATCCTAGTCTGACATACCACACCAGTGTTCCCTCTAAGCTGAGTTAGTCTGAGCTAGCTCACAGTTTTTAAGCCTCTGGCGAACACATTTTTGCCTTAGCTCAGGAAGGATGGCTCCAAAGTAAACTAATTTATGATGCAGCCAAATCGCTCGCTCACAACTTTAATGCCAGTAGCTCACAAAGTAGAATTCTTGCTCACAGGACTCCACACCTTAGAGGGAACATTGCACCACACCACAGTGGTTCTATTATTATTATTATCATTACTATTACTAGCACTAGCATTTGCACGCTGTCTTTTCACGTTGTTGTTTGCAGTCACACCCCAGTTAACGCTGGTGCAAGCAGATCCAATAAAGGCGATAAAGGTACCTTGGCGATATTTCAAAAGCAGCTCCCAGATCCCTCGGCGAGAATAAGGATCGACACCCGCTGTTGGCTCATCCAGAATGACAACTTTAGAGCCACCTACGAAGGCCAGCGCTACAGAAAGCTTTCTCTGCATGCCACCTGCAAAGCCAAGCCCGGGAACAGAATTAATGTAGTTTAGTTTGTCTAGTGCGTTTCAACCTGACCTTTGGAGAAAGGAGCTCTCTCTCTCCCCCTTCCCCATTTTATCCTCACAACTAGAGTTTGGATTGACAGAGAGAATGAATGGATTTGAACCCTAATCCAACTGCTACACCACACTGACTCTGTAAAGTTTAATTTTATCTGAGGCTGTCCATGGCACTGCCTCTACACACCTGTGTGAATGCACACAGAGAAGAAGAGATTGGATTTATACCCTGCCCTTCACTACCCAAAGGTGTCTCAGAGCAGCTTACAAACTCCTTTCCCCTCCCCTCCCCACAACAAACACCTTGTGAGGTAGGTGGGGCTGAGAGAGCTCTGACAGAAACTGCTCTTTTTTTAAGAACAGCTCTTATCAGAGCTATGGATTGCCCAAGGTCAACCAGCCAGGTGCAAGTGGAGTGGGGAATCAAATCATATTCCATATTCACAAGTACTATGGGTCCGATCAGACGGCTCTTTAGATCCGCACGAGGCACGAGTGCCTCATGGATTTAAATGTAATGTCCAGACATCAACATCTGGGAAACGTCTGTCTTCCATGAGCATCTCGTTTTGCCGCGCTTCGGAGCCGTACTATAAAGGTACTACTTCAAATCTGGAGTTTTCGGTTCCTGACGGGCCATTTGCAGACTTTCCCCATCTGATCATTCCAGCGCACGGTAAAAAATGGTGCCCATTCAGGATGGTCTGACGTCAGACCATCCCAAACAGGCGCCATTTTTAAAAGATCTTGATTCTGCGTATGCGCGGATGAACAAGGCTGCGATATCACGCCTATGCGTATGTGCAAAAAGTTAAAAAAAAAACAAAAACACCGCAAGTGCCTCCTTCAGTGCCTTCTAGACAATCCACAGTGGAAGCAGCGCGTGGTAAGGTGATTCCCCCGGGGGATGTCTGGTCATGCAAGGATGGATTAAAAAGATCGGGATCAAATG